TTCATAATCAATGTTAAGGAATAATCGACTTAAAACAAGCTCATGTTTCTTGCTGAAAAGTTAATTATAAATTAGTTTTGTCTTATATTGTTATGACCCGAGCTTTGTTTCATTTTTGTTTCCTTTTTTTTTGAGGGATTTTGTTTGTTTGGGTGCGCCTGCTGCTTCCTTCCCTTTCCACCAGGTGTCGTCGGGTGGTTGGGTCCCTGGAGAGGCGTTCTCCAATCCGGTAGACACACCTGTTGTCTATTTGGAGATGACTGCGGTGCAGTATTTAAGAAGCGGCTGGTCGACTCTTCAGTGCCTGAGTGTTAGCTTACTACGGTAAACGTTTCTCTGAGAGGCCCCCTGAGTACTAACTCTGTTTAATCATTCGTTGTGTTTCCTCGTTCAGGAGTTTCCCGTTGCTGTTCTGAACTCCTGTGATTCTGCCGCTCCTGGTTCACCTGAGCTACCTTTGTGGAGCAACCGGGGATCCCAGTGGGCCGCACTATTCTGTGCTCCATCCCTCCCGGTCCTGCCCCAGAGGATAACCTACCTGGCCCACGGGTAGTACCTGCAGGTCGCTACTATCCTGGAAGCGAGTTCCCACCCGGACCCTGTCGGCCACCAGCTCCGCCGCTCCCGCAGTTAAACTTGCCTGTTCCGCCCTCCAACGTCCTCCACCTCACCAACCTACCGGTACCTGGATTTTCCTTCATTCCCCTCATCTGATTCAGGATCCCGACGCACTCTCCAGAAAGTAAGACACCCTATCATCTGCCTGCAACACAGATTCCCATGACCCCTGAATCCACCTTTAATTACTTACCTCTCGTTGACAGACAGAAGACCCGGTCCCCTCCTCCGAATCCTGATCAACTTTTATTTACCTTTTTTTCTCATTAAAATCTATCATTATTCGAACACTCCTCCTGATCTTGTTCTTGCATGTGGGTGCGAAAACTAGACCCTACCATGACAGATATCACATTTACAATTAGAACCTTATCATGACATATTTTAATTTACTGCATATATGTGATTATACATTCAGTGTGTGCTGAGCAATAAAGTCCTTATATAATATTTTTGCTGCCTTCAGGAATATGGTTAATTCTGCTTAAAAATTGTATGATTTAATTTCTTAATTCCCTTTTGACTGTTATTCTGGTTCTACATTGATGTTTCTTTATTCTTTATTAAGGTTTTTTTTTGTTCCAAATTAGGCATTCACTCAAATGCTTTTAAAAAAATAAAAGCTAAAATAAACAATCTTTTTAAAGATCTGATTTCTGAATTAGGAGCTGAGTAAAATTACAGACACTTGAACTTGCTGATATAAAGCTAATCATGGGTCTAACCCAGTACTTTACTGACCAAGCCAGCAAATCCTGCTGCCAATATTTTTATTTTAACATCATCAAAACATTATATAAAAATGTAACCTTCTGCAAAGTTTAATTATGAGTCACAAAAGTAAAACCTGATGGCCAAAGAAAATCAGATAAGTTTCCTGCTCACATGGGGAAAAGCAGATGGCCACTGAAGGTTGTATGATGATCAACAGTGTCATAAATTCTTGCGTTCCGCCAGAGACGCACAAAAACAACATCTCCAGACTCTAAATGTAAAATCACCCCATTAGAAGGATTAACAGAAAAGGAAGCTTGCCCTTCAAAAGCAGTGAAGATTTGCTGCCCATTCTTGACCAACGAAGCAGCTGTAGGATGTGACGCATGTCCATGGCCATGTAGGTAGAACTCAAAATGATAGACTCCTCTGACGGGTGCAAAAAAAATCCCTGTAAAAATTTATATGATTATTGGTAGAATTAGTGAATCATTATCAATATTTTTTTCTCAGGCTCTCAAAGGAAAGCAACTCATTAGAGATGAATACATAAATCTGTGTACCTGTGTGTGGGTTGTAGGCATTCCCAGTATTAGTAGCCACATGTCTGAAGACCAGAACTGTGTCTGTGTTAAATGGTCCGACGTATCCTTGAGCACCCCCAGCGAACACTGAGGCGGAGAACGCCACTTGTTTTCCTGACACAGAGAAAGCAGCAGTTATGTCTTATGGAGTTGTTGTGGGTGTTCAGAGCCCACTTGAAGACAAATTTCTGATATCTTTGGTGACAACTTTTTCTATTCTATTCTCTTCTGAGATTTTGAAAATTGTTTATTTAAATCTGTTTTGCTTCTAAATATTTAAGATAATTCTTTAAATGTCTCACTTATCACAAAATTATTTATTGTTAAAGTTATAAATACCTTGGTACTGCTGCTCAAGACGTCTTACTTTTGTCACTTGCTCTAAAATAGGAAAACCCAAACCGATAATTGATATTAGTTAATACAATGTCCTTCTTATGCTAAATGTCTTTCGGTGATAACGTCAGAGTTTTGTTTGTTCTCTTCTAAATACCTTGATATTGTTGTTTTAGCAAGTCCAGTTCTTCTGTCTTGGCTGTTTCAGGAGTAAAATGAAAAACATTTAAATATGACTGTTTGATTATAAACCCTTAAGTTTCATACAGCAGTGATTTCTGGTTAACATACCTTCATTATCTCTCTGTAGATACTCCATACCAACCTTTAGTGCAGCCAATGAGGCGCTCATCTCTCTCAGCACTGCATGAATGTCCTGTGCACAAGTTTGTTGATTGTCAGAGAGATTTCCTGCACCTGCTGCCTGTGATTCTGTTTGCCTTAAATGTGAAATAACTTCATTGTTAGAGTCTGGTTGAAGCTGAGCTGTGGAGAGAGAGTGGATTAGCAACAACAATGATAAAAGCATTGTGATCTCCATTCTCAACATCATATTTTGCAGATTGCCTTTGTGGTTTCTATGATGGTCCGAGCCTTAAATATTCAGAGCAGCTGACTAATAATTAACTAAATATTTTGTATGAAGGTCATGCAGATAACAGATGTTCTGTGGGTTTGACCAATCAAAAGGCATAATCTTTAGTCATAAACATTATGTTACTGGCACACTTCTGAAAGCCAAACATTTAATTAAGTCTAAAGCTTTAAAAACATTGGATTTTGTTGAAACAAATGAATCATGGAAGCAACTGAGTTTTGAATAGTCATTCTTATTACTTGGGTATTAATGATCCATTGTTGCATTCATGATTAATATATTTAATTGCTCATGGTACTGAACACATTTCAGTGGAACTAGTGGTGGTTCTATACAGCTCCAGTATGTAACTTTTATAAAAAATAAATGTGCTTTGCATATTTGTTAAAGCTGTCACTATGTTGTGATAGTATGGAATGACCCAGATAATATTTCTACCAGTGCTAACTAATAACAACCAATCAGAGCCAGGAGGTGGGTCTTAGTGCTTTCATGGCCAGTGATGGGCAGTAACGTGTTGCTGTAATTTGTTTACTTTTTTCAAGTAACGAGTAAAGTAAGTGACTACAATTCCAGAAAAAAAAGTAATTAGATTACTGTTGCTTCCCTGAAAGCAGACTGAAACCGTGGTACTGTTTGTTAGCATCTCAATCACATATGAGCGGTCAGTGGAACCTGTTCCTTCATCGCTGGCCACCTTCCTGTGGATTTTTGAACTGATATCCTTGTCTTCATAGTAAGGATAAGCTGTGAATTATTGTGCAATCAAATAACTTGGATCTGGTTTTGTTATTTAAAGACATAATATTATCATTAACCTATTTCACAGGTAAACTGATCTCGTTCTCCAGTACTGTTGATGGCATGTGAATCAGAATAGAACAGTGTTGAATCATCAGCTTACATGACAACCAGTGACTGGTTTAATACATAAGGTATGTCGGTATGAACTCAAATAAAAAACAAACAAAAAAAATAACAGAAGGCCAAGTTGGCTGTCCTGAGGCAGATCACAGTAGATCACACAGCAATTGGACACGAATCTACCTGGTATCAAATCCACAGACAGGGGCGCTGCCAGGAATCGTGGGCCCCCTGACAAAAAAATGTTTGGGCCCCCTGCGCAGCTGCTGTTACAATTTTTTGAGTCTATTTGACCTATAAAAAGCATCACAATT